CATTTTTATTTTTGTTTTACATTCTAAAATTAATATACGATTTTTAAGAATTAATGCAATAAGCGACACTATTTTTTTTTGTAATATTCTATTTTTTATGATTTTCTTTTTTTTGTCTTTCAAAAATAAAATAAAATAAAAATGACGACAAAAAATTATGAAATTTTACAGACACGATCCTTAAATTTTTGCATGCCTACAAAAAATGGCTGCAAAAAAGGACAAAATAAAGTAAAACACTGCCAAAAAGCTCCCGACCCGCGTAGTGGGGCGCCCAGGGACCGGAATGAGTCAAAAATTTACATTTTTATTTATGTTTTGTATTCTAAAATTAATATATGATTTTTATGTATTAATGCAACAAGCGGCACTATTTTTTTAAAGAATATTCTATTTTTTGTGATTTTCTTTATTTTTCATCTTTGAAAAATAAAATAAAATAAAAACGACGTCAAAAAATTCTAAAAATTTGCAGACACTCGCGCAACATGCAAAACATTCCTAAAAATGAAAAAAATGTCGAGGGCGCCCACTACGCATGCCAAGAAAACACTGTGAAGAATTCAAAAAATGACATCGTTTTGTCGCAACAGAAAAACGACATGTCGTTTTGATGCATCAATAAAAATGACATGTCGTTTTGTTTGTGAAAGTTTTTTCTCTTTTCGTTTTGTTTGTGAATGTTTTTTGTGGATTTGTCTCTTTTTGGGAGGCACACTCAGAAAAATACAAAAAATATAGAAAATAATAAAAAATAGAATATTCGTCAAAAAATGGCGCCGCTTGTTGCATTAATTCTTAAATATCGACTATTAGTTTTAGAACGTAAAAGATAAGTAAAAATATGAATTTTTGACCTATCCCAGTCCCTGGGTGCCCCACTGCGCTCACCGAAGTCTTTTTGGTAGCGTTTTCTTTTTTCATAATTTGATGTCATTTTTTGCAGGCATGCTCTTAATGTAAGGATCGTGTCTGCAAAATTTCAGAACTTTTTGACGTCGTTTTTATTTTATTTTAATTTTTAAAGACGAAAAATAGGGAAAATCATAAAAATAGAATATTTATCAAAAAATGGTACTGCTTCTTGCAATAATTCCTAAAAATCATGTATTAATTTTAGAGTGTAAAACATAAATAAAAATGTAAATTTCTGACCCATCCCGGCCCCTGGGCTCCCCACTTCGCGGGTCGGGGGCTTTTTGACAGTGTTTTACCTTTTTCTGGTCATTTTTTGACGCCATTTTTTGCAGGTATGCTTAGAAAAATATAAGGATCATGCCTGCAAAAAAAGGCCTCAAAAATTTAAAAAAAAAAAAAGAAAAACGTTGTATAAAAGCTCCCGACCCGCATAGTGGGGCAACCAGGGGCTAGGATGGGTCAAATATTTATATTTTTATTTATGTTTTGCATTCTAAAATTAATACATGATTTTTAGGAATTAATGCAACAAGCGGCACCCTTATTTGATGAATATTCTATTTTTTATGATTTTCTTTATTTTTCCTCTTTTAAAAATAAAATAAAATAAAAACGACGTGAAAAAATTATAAAAGTTTGCATACATGATCCTTACATTTTTCTCGGCGTTCCTGCAAAAAAATAGCCTCAAAAAATGACAAAAAACGTAAAACGCTGTCAAAAACCCCCGGCCCGCGTAGTGGGGTGCCTAGGGGACGGGATGGGTAAAAAATTTACATTTTTATATATAATTTGTATTCTAAAATTAATATACAATTTTTAGGAATTAATGCAACAAGCAACACCATTTTTTATTGAATATTCTATTTTTTATGCTTTTCTTTATTTTCTGTCTTTGAAAAATAAACTAAGATAAAAATGATGTCAAAAAATTATGAAATTTTGGACACTCAACCCTTACATTTCTTTGGGTATGCCTAGAAAAAATGGCCTCAGAAAAAGTCAAAAAACAAAGTAAAACGTTGTCAAAAAGCCCCCGCCCCGCATAATACGGCGCCCAGGGGCCGGGATGGGTCAAAAATTTACATTTTTATTTATGTTTTACATTCTCAAATTAATATATGATTTTTAGAAATTAATGCAACAAGCGGCACCATTTTTTGGTGAATATTCTATTTTTATGATTTTCTTTATTTTTCGTCTTTAAAAAATAAAATAAAGTAAAAATGACGTCAAAAAATTCTGAAATTTTGTAGACACAATCCTTACATTTTTTTGGACATGCCTGCAAAAAATGGCCTCAAAAAATGAAAAAATAAAAACGCTGTCAAAAAGCCCTCAACCCGCATAGTGGGCGCCTAGGGGCCGGAATGGGTAAAAAATTTACATTTTTATTTATGTTTTACATTCTAAAATTAATACACAATTTTTAGGCATTAACGCAACAAGCGGCACCATTATTTGGTGAATATTCTATTTTTTATGATTTTCTCTATTTTTTTTTTGAAAAATAAAATAAAATAAAAGCGACGTCAAAAAATTCTAAAACGAACCTTACCTTTTCTGGGTGTGCCTGCAAAAAATAGCCTCAGAAAATGAAAAAAGAAAAGTAAAACGCTGTCAAAAAGTGTCCAGCTCGCGTAGGTGGGCGCCCAGGGGCCGGGATGGGTCAAAAATTTACATTTTTATTTATGTTTTGTCATCTATAATTAATAAACGATTTTTAGGAATTAATGCAACAAGCGGCACCATTATTTGATGAATATTCTATTTTGTATGATTTTCTCTATTTTTATTTTTAAAAAATAAAATAAAATAAAAACAACGTTAAAAATTTTTAACATTTTACAGACACGATCCTTACATTTTTCTTGGCATGCCTACAAAAATCCGGGGGTCCCGTGGGTGTCCCAAGAGTCCCGAGGGTCTCGGGGGTGTCCCTGGGGTCCCAGGTGTCCCTGGGGTCCCAGGTGTCCCGGGAGTCCCGGGGATGTCCTGGGTGTCCCGGGGTCCCGGGGGTGTCCTAGGGGTCCCGGTGGTGTCCTGGGGTGATTTACCTTTTTTTAACTTTTCTCCACTCTAACCATTAGCTAAACGATTAATTATTTTAACTAAATTATTTTTTACTAATTGAATATAGTTAGCAAGAAGTGATTAGCTATTTTTTTATTATTTTATTCTTTGTTTAGACATAAAATAAAAAGTAATAGCTCTTTTAAAGATTCTCTTAGCACCCGTCCCTGACAATTGCAAAGCAAGCTTTACAGCTTCTCACTCTTTTTTATTTTATTTTAAGGAGAATAAGAAAAGAGACAGGTGTCTCATATTATTTCATCAAGACAACAATATATATATATAATATTAGGCACAATTAAGGTGAAATATATCATCATTCTCCTAAATAATAAGTTAGATGTTATATTTTTAAAAAAAAATTTATTATATAAATTTAAAATTAAAAATTTAAATCGATAAAATGAACAAGATCTTAATTTTTTTATTGACTTATAACAAATGAAACATATGCACCACAATCATATTTCAAATCAGTCAGACCTTTCTGATCCTAACAATTAACATTAAGAATTTTTACCGCTAATTACTAATAAATGAAACATTTACATAATAAATTATTATTTATTTTAAATTTATTATTTATTTAATTTAATTTTAAAAGTGTACTAATTACTGCCGTATGTACAAAGTAACAAACCTATCTACCAACACCTATCTACATGCTAATTACGAGCTGACACAAATAGTCAGCACGTACGTTAAATGTTTCTGCTTTATTTTCTTTAGCAACGCTAAAGCAAGACAAAAGAGAAGAACAACTTTCTGTTTTTATAAATTTGTCTGTCTGGTTGCCTTAGAAAAGCCACTCGATCTTCAACTTTTCTTGATCCATAATATATACAATTTTTCTGCATATTTTATATAAAGTAATAGGCGCCATATTCTTACCTCTAAAAAATAATTGCAGCAAACCTGCAAGAAAACAAAACACAGGAGAAAACCATCGAAGCGTACACCTGTTTTGATATCTTTATGTTTACAGGGGATTAATTTTAGATCTTATTGTGTCAAGTGTTGGATCACAATCTAATGATAAATTAAAGTCTTATTCATTTCACCGATTCGAGTTTAGAATTCAAGTTTTACTATAATAAAAAACTCTTAAAAATAATCACATCTAACTTTTTTACACAGTAAAAAACTCTAACATAAAATTAAATTTCAACTCGAATTAAAAACTTGAATCAACAAACTAAACAAGCCCTTATTCAGAAGTACTTTCTGCCAGAGTGCTTGAAAATATCAGTATACATTCCACTTAAATATTTTGTTGGTATTTTTTTTATAAAAAACAATTGAATTATTTGTTGTTTTTACTCTTTAAAATTTAGTTAAATTTTAGCTAAAATAATTAGAAAGTTGTTTTAGCTTGCAATTTTTAAGTGATTGACTCCAACTATATTCATTACTCTAGTTAAATAGAGATTATTTTAATATTTATTAAAATTTTAAAATATGAATAACTTTAATGAATTAAAAAAAAACCTTTACATTTATTATGTTTAAAAGAATAAAATAATATATAAAAAAAAACTAAATAGCTAGCCTCTCTATGCTAGCTATACTTAGCCAGTGTAAAAGGTATTCTTTAAAATAGCTAACTATTTAGCTAATGGTTGAACTTGAAAGAACTAAAATAAATAAATCATTAGTCATTTTTGTTAAAAACATGAAACCAATAGCTAAAAATAAATCATTCGGGTGTGTTTATTTTAAGGGTTCTACATGATTCAAACTGTGATTCTTAGTTCTGTTATAATGTTTTTCTCTTACAAAAAATTTAAATTTCAAAAGTCAAAATCAAATCCAATAATTTTAACCTATGAACCAAACATACCTAAAATAACTAACATGGTTGAAGTTACTATTAAGCGACTATAAATAAGTAAGACTAGATAAAAACCACAATTGCAAAGCAATTTGAAAAATCAATAATAATAGAGACAGATTACATATCATATTATTTCATCAAGACTACAATATTTTTTGAATATTTTTTGATGGGGTGAAGAAATACATCGCATAGATGGAGCACAAATTTTTAGCTATAATTGAGGCGGAATATGTCATTCTGCACAACAAAGTTTCCTTGCGCGACGGGGACCAAATGAAACATCTGCACCACAATAACATTTCAAATTAGTCAAGCCCTTCTACTCACAATTTAAATATTAATGGCCCGTTTGTTTTTTTTTTTTTTTAAACTCAAATGATTGATTTTATTTTTTTCTCATAAAAATTTAAATTTCAAAAATCAAAATTAATAATCATTATTTAAATATACCTTCCAAACGAGCCCTAAGAATTTTTAATCCAGGTGACCTTTAAATTTTTAGTAGTTTAACACTTTTGTCCCCTTTGGATTTCTGACAGTATAGTTATTAAATTTACAAAATAGTAATAGTTAACTGAACTTCAATATTAAGTGGATCAAATTTTAGGTGAAATAGCTATAAATTTTGTTAGCATTTGTGCCCGTGAACTTCCTGTAATTTAGCATTTTCTTTCCTCAAAAAATAATAATAATAACCTGTTGGCAATTTAATACTTGAATTAGTTATGAAATTCCCTTATTTTTAATCACCATTAACATTCGGAATTTGTTGCTACTGTTGTGTAAATTCAACGACTAAAATTGTTTGAAAAAATTTTAGGGTCTAAATACCCTTTTTTTGAAAAACGAACGTCAATTTTTAAAAGCGTTAAAATGACTTGATTATTGCATCTAAAAAAAAAAAAAAAAACCCATTCTAACTGCAATAGACGCGAACAAATAAGTACCACAATGGCATTCAAATAAGTACCTTTCCCTATTAATGTAAGCATTCAAACATTCAAATAAGTATTGTTTGATAGTGTGCGCTAATAACCTGGCTGAATCTCAAAGGGTGTTCTTCGCATGGCAACTGGATGCTGCCACTGACAAGCACCACAATCGCACCGGTGGACGAGGGCTGTGAATCAACGGTGCTGATCACATGTTTGCATTGATCAAACGGCAACTGATTAAGCTTACAAGATATATTAATGTCGCCTAGTATTTTCTCGCCCTCAAATGTCAACATGGAGTTTGGCTGGTAAAGAGAAGAAAGCTTAGCTCTGTCGTTATCGAAGAGATGGTAATAATAATCCACAAATTTCCTCCCAACCACTTCAAATTCTTCTGCCATTTTTCTCTCTCTCTCCCAAACTACCTAAACTATTGATCTTCTTCCATCTTCTCTCCAAATTGGCCCTGAATATAAAGAATGATGGAGTAGCCGAAATCTACATAACATGTGTCATGTGGGCTCATGCAGAAAAGGAAAATGGAGATCGTTTGATTTGTCCGCCAAATTTAATATAAAATGACAATCATGCCCTTGTAAACCTGCCCTATGAATTGTGATAAGAGGTGGGATAGAGTTGAAGTGAGGACATTTTCGTAATTGGACAAGAGGTAAGGGAATCATCACTGTAAAGCGTGGTGGAAACGCTTCTTTTGTGTGCTTGGTGAATCTTTTACAGAGCCGAAAGTGGGGAATATATCCTTCTCTTCACGATCATTATTTCAATTCTTCTTAAGAAATGCTTTATACCTTTGCCTTTTCACAAGCGTCGGTGAAGAACCTAATTTTGGGTTCTCTCTATCTCAAGTGATTGCTGATCATGAAGATCTTGATCCACATAAACTAACCTGAGTAAAGCCTACAAAAGAATTTGCACCATGCATTTACCCATTTATGCATTGTTTCTCGGTCTAGAGCACAAAGATTTCTAAAAGGATCCTCAAAGTAACAACGACAGTTTCACATCGAAGGAAGAGAATCAAATGAAGAAAAAACTACACCGGAAACCATTTCTGGCATCCAAGGGTTTCCCATTTTAAATTGTGGAGGAAAATTTTGCAGATTCCCTGGAGTAAGCAACGACATTCTATGACTTGCATAAGAGAATACTGGAACACAAAACCATTCACTAATAACAAATAAAAGAACAGAGTAATATTGGAGCATCAAAAGTATGTTCCCCATTGACAAACAGCCAATTAAGCAAATATGAAAATTTATTTGTAATCCTCTCACGCATTCTGGAGGTGTCCGCATGCTAGAATTCAGTTAAAAACCAGTACCTGTTCATACCATTGTCTAAAGGAAATCCTAAATAGCACCACCAGTGTTTTTAACATCCGCATAAGCGGCGGCCAATCTGCACTCCCTCAATTTAGTTCCCACCACATTTTGCCATCCAGCAACATTAATGCACTACATTACCACACTTGTGTGCTTTTGAGAGCATTTGCTCAATGGAATTGCTCTTCTTCATTTGTACACAAACCAGACTAAAATAAATAATCCAAGATCGATACTGTTTTGGTTTAAGACAGATGGTAGACCCTCACTGCTTTGTTTCAAGAGAAAATGGACGTCACTCCTTTCCTATCTTCCAAGGACCTAACTACATGTTTATCACTCTCTACGTATAATATGACATCCTCATAGGATAGATGAGACCAAACAAATTAAAATGCTTGAAGGAAAAAAAAAATAAAAAAGCAGCTGGTAATGCATTTCGGTTTTAAGGTATCAAAGGTGATACAGAAAAATACTTACAAACCAGAAAAATTATCCTTCTATCTGTTAAGAAAATCGTCTGCCAGAAACATACTTTGCTAGAAACAAAAAGTTGAATTCGAGAGTGAGACACAATATAATTCCAGCACATGGATCCTTCTAGACTCTAGTCCGAGGCATTAAACTTAGCAAACAGAACCTGGTCCAATGCCTCCCCAAACAAGGTAACATTTCCTAGAATGTACTACAACTCTCATAAGGATTTTAAGATGAGAAATAACATAATCTATTCGTGGATTATCCGGGACAGGAAAATTTAGAACCATTCCCCTGGCTTCAGATGAAAACTACAACTTTCATATCAAGGGTTTCTATCCCTCTTACACGGACATTTATAGAGCTGAAAGCATTTCCATGTCTCTCGCCAGATACGATGGAACTTAGAATTAACCTTCCAAACCATTAGAGCTGAAAGCATTTCCTTGTTTCTCACCAGATATGATCGAACTTGGAATTATTCTTCCAAACCGTTCCCCCTTAACTCAAGATAGTACCATGATTTTTGCTAAACAAGAAGCGTACTTGGAAAGCAGCCGTCGGGAGCACTTCCTAGGAATAACATTCAACGTATGGCATTTCACAAGAATCAAAGAAGAATAGGAAGACGCCAAAACATCTTAGAAAGACATTCCAGACACCAGATTTTGAGATAATTGTTTCATTCGACCAAAACAATTTGGACCTACAATCTCCTTTAGAAGCAGTATTAAATTGATATACGCTATTCTTCTCCACAAAATTTTTCCTTTCTCTCCTTGCAAGAGCACTTCGCTAATCAAAAGAAAGCACAGAACTAGAAGACTTCTGTGTCCTACTTAACGAGAGCTCTCGGCAAATCCCGAAATTCAACAAGCGAAAACATGAACTCAAGGAGAAAATCAAACTAAAAACCCAATAGAAAGTTCCAAAATTTGCGTGGCCACCAACTCAGAACCAATAAAAGCTAATATAAGTCATAACAAACACAAACCACAAAGATCAAAGCCGGAAATTCTCTAACAAAGTTCTCAAATTTGAAGTAAGAAGTAACCAAGTTTCAAGAAGTATCAAAATACGTTGTTCCTATTACCAAAGTTACATATAATATCATTAAGTCTGCACTAATTTATCCATTTTCACTAAATCAAAAGTATCACCTTTCTCAGTAGTATCCGGAAAACCACATCCCTTCTTAGCTCAGCTCCAACTCGAGGGCCAGAAGGCATGGACTCCGTAACCAGTCTTCCAGTTATCCAAGTAGACCACCTTCTTCACCGCCCAAAACGAGACGAAGAGCGCGAAAATCATAACCAACCTCTGCACTGTTACATTCCTGACCTTAATGAGCACTCGAGTCACCAACGCCAGCAACAACCCGACGATTGTGTACAAGAACCCGATTGCGAAACCCTCGGCTCCGAGCTGCATTCCCGATCCCTGATAGAAAAATATCAGCTTGGACGGATCGCCCCGGTCGGCCAAAAACATCGGCATCTTCCTGATTATGTTGTGCATAGCACCTGAAACGCTGAAGAAATAAATGAAAACCGCACCGGACAGCCATATCTTTGGGTCGTGAAGAAGCGTCTTCCCACTGAGAATCTTCTTGATGAGAAACGGCATCCAAATCAGCCAGGCAATGGTGGCAAATATCAACTGCTTCTTGGAAAGGATAGGCGGCCGATGGATCGGGCCAATGGAGAGCTTAGTCTTCGATTCGATGAATTCGGCCATGGACTCGGCCAATCGCGCGAAATCTCCCTGGTCCATCTGATCGGAGTTCTTGAGGCCGTGATTGGGGCCGATGAGCCTGATGTGAGGAAGGGCATTGACACCGAAGAGGGAGAAACTGGTCTGAGACTCCTTGAATTCGATGTCGCAGAAGAAGATCTTGGCGTGGGACGGAGACGACGGATCCTGATTGTTGGTGATGAAGGAGTTGGTGACGATGGCGAACTCGTTGCGGAGTTCTTGGAGGTGGAGCTCGTGCTTGTCGTGGAGCTGAACGGCGTCGAAGAAGATGACGAGAGAGTAGGGTCTCGGGGTCTTGGCGGAGGTGAGGAAGCGAGAGACGGAGTCGTCGTCAAGGTGGATCACGCCCGATGTGGATCGGGATTGGAGGTCGAGGAGCTCGGAGACTCGGTCGGCGCCGGAGTCGGAGAAGACGTTGAAGGAGGATGAGGAGAAGATGGCGACGATGAAGAAGAGGTGGGTTAGGGTTCCAGAGGACGCCATTGTTGGATTTGGGGAAAATTGGATTATTGGAAGGAAAGGGGCGAAAAAGTTTGGGTTTTGAATTTAATGCTGGAACTTTGGGCCAGCAGGCTGTCCGAAGTCTAAATTTTTCAGGCTTGGCGGACAGCCCATAAAGCCACCCATCTAAATAAACTTTTGGGTTCAAGTTTGGGTTGCCCCAGAATGGTTGGAATTGTTGAAGTCTGCCGCCGAAAGAAAGTCTCCGACCGTCGACCGTCGGAATTTTTTTTAATTTTTTTCCCTCCGGCCCGAAGCCTAATCAACAACTATTTTTTTGACCGTTAGTGCCCAACCTGACCCGCCGCTTGAAAAGCCCGAATTCAACGGCTCTTTTTTTTTACCGTTGCCCAATTTTCTACCCGAACCCAACCCGTGGAGACAAAAAAAAAAGACCGTTGGATATGAATTTGGGAGAAAAATCAATTTTTTAACTCAAAAACTTTCCTATAAATACCTCTTATTTCCCGACACATTTTTCTCACCCAAACTCTCTCAATCTCTCTTAATTTCTCTCAATCTCTCTCAATCTCTCAAATCTCTCTCATAATTTTTCTAAAAACTATCACAATATCCTAAAGCTCTTTCTCTTAAATCGCTCTTATTTTTAATAATGCATGTTGAATGTTGATTTTAGTTTTTATATAATTTTAACATAAAATAACTTAATAATTATTTATATACAAATACAATTACTAAATAATAGTATATTATAATATATATATATATACAGTATTATAAAAATTATGATAAAAAATATTTTTTTTACGGGCCATTTGGGCGGGCTCGGGCAGCCAAAACTAGGCCCACGGCTCGTCCATGGGCCTTTTCGGGCGTCGGGCTCAAAATCATTTTTTTCAAGCGGCCTGTCTAAAATTCCAGCACTGGCCGAAGGGGCTAGACGAGAAGTTAACTCTAGCACTAGCAATCCGGATAGCGACACGATGACATGATTTGAAAACCGCACGAAGTTAACGAGTTTGGGTTTACTATAAATGAGGGGTTTGAGTCATAATCGGGTTAACGAGATTAATAAATGGGTTGAGTTATGGTTGACCTCCTAACATGAAGTGACACGAATTGACACGATTAACCATATGTTTCATCTACAATCTAATGATATGTGATATAACATAAAAGTTTATATGACATATTAAATTCAAATAATGTGAATTTTAATATTTGTAGGTAAAATTCATTTATTTTTCTTAAAGAAAAAGATAAATTAACCAATAAACATATTAAACATGTCTTGACCGTGTTAAATAAGTCATTATTATATAGTTATTTATTCAATATATTAATTTAAACGGGTTATATGGATTGACACGATTAACACGATTAATAAATGAGTTGTGTTTGGGTTGATATTTTTAACACGTTTAATAAACAGATCGTGTTTTGGTTGATATTTTATTACATGATTAATAAATTAGTTGACACGAACACGACTCACTAACACGAATTGACACCTTTAGTTAACTCTTGATCGAGAAATTTGCTAGACTACTTGTGATTCAGTCATATAGCTTATTTTTTTTTAGAAGTTTATCTTTATTTTTTTGGTCCTTTCTAACGAGCTTTGTCACGCTCGAATTTTATGTGTTAAGCGGGTTTTTTTTCTAATTGGATTTCAGTACTTTTATTTATCACATGTTCTTCATTTATCTTTATTGGTAGTTCCAGACAATGATTAGGGTGAATTCCCTTGGATTGTAATTTATCTATGTGAAATGAAATTTTCTTCAAAAAACTTAGACCTCGTTAGAGGTTAACAGGCAGGCAGTTTAACGGTTTTTAAGTAAGACAGTGGCTTAATTTGGTAGGGATTTTAGGAGCTCAAAATAGATTATTTAGCCAACCAAAGTTATTTTTTGTGTTCGGTAAAAACATAAAAAAGTGTTTCTGAAAGAATTTAAGGAGAATTTGAAGCTAAAATCAGAAGCAACTTTTGGGCTGCATCTGATTCTAGATTGTGCGGAAATCTAAAAAGCCTCTTTAATGAAATTTTTGTTATTATGACTTTACCCCTGCTGAATGAAAACAATTCCATACCCAAAAAATTTTTGCTCTTTGCGGTCATGCTCCTCTCCTCTTCCTCTACGATCTCCCCCGCCGCTTCAACGTCGGCATGCTCAACCGCTGGAGGTCCGGCCAGATGCCGGTCACCGCCCAAACGTGGCCGCCCTGGTCGAAGAACTCCGGCCTTAAGCGGCAGCACAACGTCGAGTACTGGATGATGGGCTCGTTTCTGTACGACGGTGATGGGAGAGAGGTCGTTAGGGTTTCGGATCCGTAAATGGCTGAAGCCTTTTTCTTGCCGTTCTTCTCCTCTGTCACAGTCTAGTTCATTTGGGTGGAATTTGGTAGTCAGTGATATTTTGTTCATTTGAGGTTGCTGGAGTTTGTCTTTTTGCTTTTTTTTGTTTGGAATTGTTCGGGACCGATTCAGATCTCGAAGGCCATGTCGCGGGAGAGACCTAAGAGAGGCGTACTACCCCTAGCTCAAGAGGTACTACGCCCCTAAACTAACTAATTTCTTTCTCTCTGTTTGGTTGCCGGGAAAACAAATTGGCAACTTGGTCTCCATAAAGACTCTCGCTTTGTGTTTGTTTTCTAGGTTTTAAAATACAACAGTTTATTTTTTTTTTCTCCTCCAAATTTTGATGGGTATTACTTTGTTTCTGAATTTGGTTTTTGTGGGAAGTAGATTGAGATTGCGAAAAAAGGTGGAATTTTTGTGTTGTTGCTTGTTACTATAATGTTTAGTACAAAAATTGAAGAAGTAGAAAGAAAGTAATTCCTTATTGTTGTGTTCTTAATGCCAATTTCTTTACTTTCCATACATTTGCTTGGTTACTGAGGAATGTAGCCTCAATTTGCATTTTCAGATAAAAAAAATGATGATTAATTCAATCGCATGTATCTATGTTGATAATGATTACCGATTTTTCGTCAAAAATAACGATTACCAGTTTCAGTGGTGCACCGTGATTTTGCTTTTCATTGCAGAATATTGAGAAGTTAAAGAAAGTTGTTGAAGAGGGTAATTACTATGGAGCCCAACAAATGTATAAATCTATAAGTGCAAGGTATGAACATTGTTTTTTAAGTTTATGGAGATATGCATAGACTGGGACATTTATACATCATTCTAGAAATTATTTGTTGTTTACTTTCTGATGAACTTTCTGGGTTCATAATATCTATCCCTCGGCTGGGAGAACTTAATTATTACGAATTTCATGTATGAATATCGAATGCGGATGCTGTCCTTTTCGACATTGTTGATAATGATTAACTTCTAGCAGAAACCCGCTTGTTATCGATTCAGGTATGTCTCACCGATGAAGAATGCATGCTTTATTGCAGATATGTCTCTGCTCAGAGGTATATGGAAGCTTTGGATATACTTCATTCAGGTGCCTGCATTCAATTGGAACATGGGCAGGTAAATGCTCTTATGTTGCCGGTTATACACTTGAGCCATGATATCTTGCCCTTCGTTGAGTTTTCATTTTTATATGGTGATATGTTGTGAGTTCAAACGAACTGGGATGGGATGAGATAGGGCTTAACATGTGATAACTTTTCAATACCTGGGCTTTAACTTAAGCTGAATCTTCTAAAGTTCATGGGTAGGTCAGTTTAGGTCAATGTCTATTCTGCTGACAAGTTTGTTGTGTTATTTCTAACTTATTACTTGTTCATCTTGTAATTATTGAAGAATAAGATTAGGGTTTTTGAATATGAATTATATAGTTATCTATTAGGATATATTTATCTTTAGTATTTATTTTTGAATTTATGTTAGTGTGTGTATCTTTTAGGATTAAATAAATTTTGGTCAAGTTTAGCTTTTCAATAGTTTAGATCTCTATAAGTAGCTTAGTTTAGATCAGTTTTAGATCAGTTCTTGTTCTTCTCTTATATCATCTGTTTATCTCATCTGAGTCTGTTCCTATCTCTCTTATGGCTCTCTTTGTCTTCTCGATTTTCTGTTTTCTATTTAAGTTCTATCTCATTCTTAGATCTATCTTGGTCTTACGTCAGTAATGTTCTGAAAATTAAAACCATTACAGGTAACATGTGGGGTAGAGCTAGCGGTGTTGTATGTGGACATCCTTGTCAAAGCAAGAGTTCCTTATAATGATGAAAACCTTGGTTAGTTTTACCTTGTAATGTAATAGCTTAATGCTTGGAGATTCACGCTTGGTTCCTTTCCTTTGATGTGATCTTAAGTGCTATTTTTCCTTTCTTTTGTTTGGCTCTGAATTTGTCGAATTATGGAGAAATGAATGCGGAATTGGCTTCATTGTTGGGTATAGGGGAATTAGAGGAATACCACTTCTAGAGAGTGAGAATTCGAATATTGTGAAATTTTCAAACCAAAGTGGTACAAGTGAGGATGTCAAGTGAAACCAAAGTCGGAGTGTCCATGGAAAGAGGATTTGAAGTATGCTAAAGCTGTTTGAAGAATGAAAGGACTTAAGTTTGTATTTGTAAGTATATACGTGTGTGTGTGTGGATATATATGTTTGCAAGAACTATTCCTTTCTAAAATGATATATCAATGTGTGTATTTACGTGTATGTGACTATGGATATCAATGTGTGTAGTTGTGGTCATTTGACGATCAAGTTTTTAACTTGTTTATGGAATGTACATATTCGAAGGAACTAATAAGAAGGCTAGAGTCTTATGGAATAGTATGGTGGTCTCATTGTTATGGTCTCTGTGGATGGAACGGAATGGCATAATTTTTTAAGAAAAGGCAATGGGGCCATTTGATATTTTTGAGAAGGCAAAGTTCTATGCATTGCTATGGGTTGCTTCAAGGTTCCCGTTTACTTTGGTCATTTTGAATTGGAAAGATGTAATAGGGAATTGATTTGAGATACCATTTATGCGTTTATCTTGCTCTTTTTGTATGTTAGTCAGTTTTTCACACCTGGCCATTTTTGTTTCTTTTTTGTTTGAGGATACATTGTCCTCTGCCTTTGTTATTGAATTTTATCAATAAAGTTTTTATTATCAAAAAAATAAGCACGTAAAAAAAATAGCAAAATGTGCCATAAAACAATACTTCATATATTTATTTCTTTTTGCTTAAACAATCCAATGCAGGTAAATAAATAAATGGCATAGCTTCACTCTAGCATGCTTCATTAATAATCCTATTATACCAATGGTATTTTGATTAGAAAATGATAATCCTAATCGAAGCTAGGCGGCTCCACCTAGCCCGATTCGAGGGCCTCACCCATCAATGTATGAATTTGCTCATTTATGTAAGTGTGTGTGTGTATGGATATGAATATGTTTGAAATGTTCTTTATTTGTGGTTCTATAATTAATTATCATTTGACTTAACCCGTTTCTTAACATGAAATTTCTCAACAAATTTATCATATTTTTCATATTTTCTTGCAAATTTTTTAGAAGAACCCTACCAAAATTGATAATTATGGTATTTGGTTGCGTTATCAAGACTGCAACTGTCCCTGTCAAGCTTTACAAGAGAGAGCACAAAATAATTCCACAACTCAAAGATTGCAACTGTCCCTGAGTAATCGTCACTAATGATTCTTTTAGTTGTAATTATATTGTGAATGAAGAAATGAAAAAAATGGAATTAATTATCATAAATTTATTGTTAAAAAATTCAAAATCATATCCAGATGTTTTTTTTTTAAAGTTAAACAAGTATTTCTAAATACCAAAAATAATTATATATATTTGAGTTTCATATCATATCTATTTTAGTCATTTTACATACCAACAGTAATTCAACCTCAAAATTTATCAAACGCTATTACACTGATTTTAGAACCAGCACAGCTACTATTATTACAGTTTACCAAACACTCAACTATTTTAGAACCAGCACAGCTACTATTATTACAGTTTACCAAACACTCAATTACTTCTTGTAACAGCTACTTCTTCCTTCAGCGAGCTAAAAATAATTTTTCTAAAATCCACAATACTACCAAATTAAGCCCATGTTTTACCAGCTGTGGGATTTGAACCCACGCCCTTTCGGACCAAAGCTTAAATCTGGCGCCTTAGACCACTCAGCCAAACTGTCAACATGCACCAATGTGTCGTTATTAAGCTAAATTAACTAATTTTACTAATACATGGATTACTATTCAACACGGTAATTATTTTTAATTTTTAAGACCGTAGAATATAGAAATCAAAATTATAAATGAAAAGGTCAAAATAAGACCTCATCTAGAACAATACGAAAATTTCTCCGATATTTTCAAATTTTCACTTAAATTTTTGTAATTCTAAGGTCTCGAAATATACTGCAAACAAATTTCTCCGATATGTACCAAAATTTACCAAAAATTTTGGGAGATTTTTTTTATTCTTAAAAGATAATTTTGGGATGTTGAAAATTATGAAATTTCGGCAGAATTTCAGAGATATAAAAAAATTTTCGCAAGCCTTCAGAAAAATTGCATAAATATCAAAATATATCGATAAAAATATCAACATTCTTGAGTTTCTAGTGTATTGTTTTTGTACAAACTTACTTATTTATGTATCTTTTTTTTTATGTTTATCATATTATAAGATATTCAAAAGAAATATCAAGTGTTAAAATCAATCTTTCCAATTTCCATAATTTTTTTCTCGATATTTTCCTCAAAATTTTTCTAAATTTGGAATACCGTTATTTTTATCAATATCAATATTTTCATCCTTCATCGGGAATAAATTATCTTTCTTTTATTTGTTCATTCCATACGAGGAATAAATTGAGCAAACATAATTAATTATTGATCACTACACTAATTCAATTTTGCTAACTTTTACAATTAATGCATCGTATGTTATCAGCTTAAGTACAGAGACAAAAAAAAGGGGGAAAATATAGGAACATAGCTTCAGCATAATTTTGATTACATGATAGTTGTTGCTTTCAGAATTTCGAAAAGGTTTTGATTACAAAAAAAAAAAAAAAAAAAAGGGAAGACATGCATCATTTTGTTTTCCTTGACAAATCACAACCAAGAAAATAACAATTTCTGCAATAATTCAATTGTTAGTCCACTGTCACTTTTTTGATCCAGCATCTAAATTACCTGGTATGTGAAGAGAATCCTAGACACTAGACGGTCTAATAATGTACAAAATACGTGTCGAAGTAGCTTAATTTTATTAGAGAATGCAATGTTTCAATCAAATGATTGTAACATTCAGGACCGCAATATCATATAGCATTTTCGAAGCACATGCACCTGTTTCTCTTAAATTCCTCTTCTATCGATTGAGTCTTATATGACGGTTGACATAATAAATTAATCTCCCTTGTCCTTTCTGAGCATCACAAGGCCCAATCAACTAGTTGCCCACATGCGTGGCCTAGTCTTCAGATGAGTGACCAATTAATTTAATATCTTTGGTGTTGCCTTGCACACATACATATATTAAATGTTGTGTGATTGAAGGATAAAGTGGTTATTATTGCAGCATATCTATCCTCTTTTCTCGGGTGTGGTGATTATAGCATGTTGGTCATTTTATTTTAGTTGTTACCAAGAGAGCAAGATATGTTTTGGCATTTGGGGACGTTTTCGTTTCACTGCTTTTGGTAAATACTTTTGTTTAATCCAACACGGTTTTTGGTTTTTGCCACAAAGAAAAGAGAAGGCCGCCTAAAGTGTCGGGGGCTAAAGATAATCAAATATAATTGGATGATAAAAGAGCACTTTTGTTGTCGATTTGACTAAAGTAATTCTAATTTAATTAGTCTAAGTTTTTTTACCCAGCAACCCGGATCCAGTTGTCAAGACCCAAACACTTTCGACTAGTGCATGACCAATCTTGAGTCAGTCACGTTCTTCCATGCAACACATGGGCCCCACTTCTAATTTTATATTCTGCCATAGCCCATTGGAGGGCAGCCTGGCTTACTCAGTTCCAATTTCCAGTTTTTCTATTCAAATTTCTTCATTCCATTCATCTTATGTTGGAATTCCAAAATTGCCCATGTCGGCTTAGTGTTGGCAAATGGCACTCGGTTAATGTTGTTCATTATCTATTCATAAAAAGAAAAGTTAATTTGTTAATTATCAAGTTATTGAATGATGAATACTTGAGTTGTTTTTCTATATTACTGTTATGATAATGTTTCGTGACATTTTGCAGACCTATATATATATATATATATATATGTTATGGAACCAATACTTAGATTTCAGTATATGCTCAAACGAGAAACGACGAGTTGTTCAATAGATTTTTTGGGGTCCTAAAACTTTTAAGACTAATACTTAAACTTTTAAGACTCTTATGCATATTGTTATATTTCACTCTAAAAATTTACATGTATATACTCATTATAAATTTTTGCCACAGTATTCATAAACTTCACATACTCAATCATCACCTTACAACTAAGATCATAGATTTTAGATTTATTGCAAGAAATACTTATCCCCACACTTGAACCAATTGTAGAAGGAAAGGTTTCTACCAAAACAAATTGTAAAAGTAAAGAAGGCCAACCAATATTGTCAAAAGATATGGGCAAAACTGTACAGCCGTCACATAAGCAAATAATCACTCAAAAAGACAATAAAATGTGAACAGAGTTTCCAGTTCTGCCCTTCCTCAGAGCAAAGTCCACTTTCAAATAGGGTGATGGTGATCATTTAATATACATATCCCTCCTTCCCAGGGATTATCCAGCTGAGACAATGGAGAGCAAAATGGTCTCTCCATTAAAGCCTACTATTCTTCTCTTCATTGCATCTCTAGTGGCTGCTGCTTATCTTACTTCATCTGAAGCAGCTGACTCAAAACCATCTTTTGAGGACAACTTCGACATAATGTGGTCTGAGGACCATTTCACAACCTCTGAAGACGGCCAGATCTGGCATCTCTCCCTAGACAAAGAAACAGGTACTCATTAAAAATGAAAAAAAAAAAAAAAAACTTGGAGTGATCATGATGTGAGCTCTTAACGCTGTTAAAATTATCATTAAGCTATGTCTGCGATTATGATTAATACTTCTTTGATTAGATCAAGCCTTGTTATGTTATCTCAATATCTAGCTCAATTTTCTGATCTTTGATATTGTACAGGCTGTGGATTTCAAACAAAACAAAGGTACCGATTCGGGTGGTTCAGCATGAAGCTCAAGTTGGTCGGAGGTGACTCTGCCGGTGTCGTGACGGCTTATTATGTATGATCTTCACCTTCTTTTTTTTTTTTTTTTTTTTGAGGGATCTTCAACATGATTAATTGTTAATTAGTACCATTAACAAATCTAAACAAGACCCTTTTGCATATACTTGCTATGTAAATTGGTATAGATAGCTAAAATTGGATATGTGTTACAGATGTGCACGGAGAATGGAGCAGGGCCAGAGAGAGACGAGCTAGATTTTGAGTTTCTGGGGAATAGGAGTGGGCAGCCATATCTGATCCAAACAAATGTATACAAGAATGGGACTGGTGGACGAGAGATGAGGCACATGCTTTGGTTTGACCCAACCGAAGACTTCCATACCTATTCAATCCTCTGGAACAACCACCAGATTGTGTAAGTAATTTTTTTATCCAATCTTATTACCTCTTTGGTTGGAAAAGTTTCTTTTAATATCTCCCAAACAATCTTTTGCTGCCACAAATATTGGTCATGCGAACCTTGGTTTTTAACCAGTAAAGTAATATGTACAAGTTCCCAACCAGGAGACTATACTATTTTACTTCAGCCACACGTTTTTGTTTTTTTTGTGTTTTTTTTTTATACCAAAATTAGGACCACCGAAATCTATGAACTGGATATTGATAAGTCATTCGGTGTTTTGGGTCTTTTTTGTCATACTTTAGTCTAATCAAACACCCATGTGGAATTAGCTGGATCTAATGCTAGAAACACTAATAGTGTCCAACACTTAAATAAAAAAAATAAGTCACATATAAACCCCACAAATGGAAATCGCTTTCCACACCTGAAAGATTACATTTTATTAGTTGCGGTGTTGGATATCACCGGCGCTCCAAGCACTTTTCTTTTCTCAATTGTCATATTGCTTTCGCGAATAGTGATTTTATGCTATGAATTTTCCAGACACCTCCGTATTATGAATTAAAAAGGAATTCTAAAGCTTGGGTTGGATTATGACAAAAACAGGTTTTTTGTGGACAAAGTTCCAGTGAGGGTGTTTAAGAACAACGGGGAAGAGAACAGCTTTTTCCCGAATGAGAAGCCCATGTACTTGTTCTCCAGCATATGGAACGCCGATGATTGGGCCACGAGAGGTGGGCTTGAGAAGACTGATTGGAAAAAGGCCCCATTTGTGTCCTCCTATAAGGACTTTAACGTCGATGCTTGCCAGTGGGAAGATCCATACCCTGCGTGCGTCTCCACCACAGCCAAGAACTGGTGGGACCAATATGACGCGTGGCACCTCTCCGATGATCAGAAGCTTGATTATGCTTGGGTTCAAAGAAACCTTGTTATTTATGATTATTGCAAGGATACCGAGCGTTACCCAACTTTGCCCTGGGAATGCTCTCTAAGTCCTTGGGATTGATCCATCCCTCACTGCAAGAGACATTTTATTATTCTTTTTTATTTTTCGATTTCAATTTTGCATCGAATATGAGATGTGTATTTTTGAGCTGTTAATTACTGTATTTGTTTATTGGAAAGGTGTATTTATTCGATTGATTATGCTCAATTTAATTATTGTCTTATTTAAGCCTTTTTTCCTGTAGAAATGTGTTGAAACAATTTGCAGAAAAGAGTTATTTCCAGCAAAAAAAGAAAAGTTCAACCAATCTGCTCTGAACTGAGTCAACTGACATGGAAGAATAAACGACAAAAAATGACTGACTTCAGACAGTAAACTGCAAAAAATATTAATAAGAAAAGCGGCGGAATAAAATAAAAACGACACAAAAAAGTACAGCAGAGCTAACTAGAGAAAACGGCAATTAAAAAGACAAACGACACAAAAAATTTACAGCATAACTAACTATTAATCTTAAACAAAAAGAAATAAAGAGCTTGAACAAAAATCAAAGGATTATTTTTATAATGCCCTCCCGTACCTCGATTTAAAGTGTCCTCTAATTTTTTAAAATAGTTCCAAACACCCTCGATTATAAAAAATGTTTAAAATACCTCTTTCATCTGATTCCATTTATAACATTAACTGATGTGCTAAGTGTCATGCCTTAAATGCTAATTAAAGATATTGAATTATGATATAATTAGTCCAAATAATTAAATATTAAAAATAAAAATACACAAAATTTATTTCAAATAAAAAACCTTTCTCTCTCTCTCTATGTGTGTGTCTCTCTCTTCCTCTTCTCTCTCGCGCGAACTTCTTAAAAAATCACCTTCTAGATATCGTCATCGGATTTGGTCCGGCGTGACTACGGCAATGAGGGCTGGCTTGCTGACGTGTATTCGCGACGGGGTCAGTTGGCTCGTGATGTGATTTGGATGGGTTCTTGAGAGGGTCGACGTGGCGGAGAGCTTGCGGGGTGGGCAACAACGTAGCGACAGAGTCTTGGGTTTAAAGGACGCCGAAGAGGATTTCCTAGAGATTCAATCGGTTGTAGGTGGATTGCAAGATGGGTGGGAGCAAATCTTGAACGTTGTGGGGTTTCAAGGACGTCGAGGAGGATTTCTCAGACCTGAGCATCTGCATTCTCGCCGTCATTTGTCTTCCTTGAGATGGGGTCTGCGATGGGTGAAAGGCGACGGAGGAGAGAAGGGTTACAGCAGAGGTAGCTAATAAGAGATCATCATTGTCGTTGTTTGGTTGAGGAGTTTGGGTGGATAAGCCCTCTTGTACGTTGTTGATTTGGTCAGACTCGAGACATTTTGGCCTCGTTCACTTCGCGGATTCAAGTTATCAATTTGAGCTGAGATGTGATATTTTCTGAGAGCTTTTCACTGTAGCAGAAAAAGTTAGATGTGACATTTTCTGAGAGCTTTTTACTGTAAAAACCTAAAATTAAAAACTCAAATCGGTGAAATGAACGAGGCTAAAGGGATCGCCGATTGGGCTCCAATAGTTTGAAGATTTGGGGATTAGAGGTTAGGATTTTGGAGGGCTGAGATTGAGGTTCGTCGTTTATTTCTTTTCTATTATTTTTTAATACTTTTAATCATTTTTTGGGTTTACTTAGAATTTAAAAAATTTGATTAATGCTTAATGATGAGCCACGTTAGCAATTTTGTTAGTAGTATAGACGGAAGTAGACGGAAGTAGAAGAAATGAGCAATTTGATCTATTTTCTATAAATCAATGGGTGTTTTGAACAGTTTTTATAAATTAGGGAGCATTTTGAAACAAGATACACAGTTCAGGGGGCATTTATGAAAATAATCTAAAATTAAATGATCACAATAGAGCTGCAAGTTTTGACCGGGCTAAACAAGCCTGTCTGAGACCCATCACTATTGAACTAAGCCTAGTCCGATTTAGTCCTAAATTTTTTGGGCTTAGAGCTGAGCCGACCTTCTCTCCTTTAAAGTTGAGCTGGCCCAACCCAAACATCATATTTTAATTTTTTTTTAAAAAGGGAGAAAGAGGGAAATAGGCTAAGACTTGATATGAATTAAAATTAATAGGCCAATAGTTTACATAAGTTAATAAATAGGCCGAATTACTGTTTTTGTCCATAACTTGTCTGGTTATGAATAATAACTTGACAAGTTATTGTCCATAAATCACGGTTTTTGTTCATAACTTGTCTGGCTATGAACCATAACTTGACAAGTTTATCCATAACTTATCTAGTCATGAACCATAACTTGACAAGTTATGGCCTATTAATTTATATAACTAAAAGTTGGCCTATATACTTCCTTAAACTTTTCATATTGACCTATTTTCTACTATTTATGTTTAAAAAATTCCTTATAAAATTCTGGGGAGGGAGGGCTGACCCTAAACATTTTGGCTTAGAGATAGGAGGACCCTCTCTCTTTCAAGATTGGTCGCGTCAACCCAGCTCGAAAAAATCAAATGACACATAAAAATCAAACGACAAAAAATGACAACTGAAACACAAACGATTGAAAAGAGAAGAAAGCGACATAAAAATTAAAAAGTAACCATAAAATCTAAAACTACTTGAAAGAACTTAAACGAAACAGAAAATAAAGTGAGGTAACAGAAAAATAAGAATAAATATTTATTTCACAACTCAAATTAAGAACTTAAATTATATGAAAAAAAAGGTTGAATTTAAATAGAACAAGCCCTAAAAAAAAAAAAGCTAGCAAAAATCCAAATTAGTCGTATACTTAAACAAGACCCCACTATTTTGAACATTCTTTTTTCTGACCCAGTAAAACATCGAGATCGAGTCAAGGGTTCTGATTAGGGCTCCGATTTACAGAGGAAAGCGCAGAGAGCAAACGACGACGGACAATGGTGTGCGAGAAGTGTAAGTGTTTCTCTTCCTCCTCTTCGATTGCGAATCTTTCTGTTCTCAATTGCTCTTTTGCTTCTACTAATTTGATCAATTTCATCTACAATTTCGCTTTGTTATGATACGCAGGTGAGAAGAAGCTTTCGAAGGTGATAGTTCCAGATAAGTGGAAAGAAGGGGCCAGCAACACCACTGATGGTGGTGGCCGTAAGATCAACGAGAACAAGCTTCTCTCCAAGAAGAAAAGGTTGCGACTTTTTTTTTTGATTAATTTTATTCAACTTTTTGGTTTTCCAGTTGATTATATATGTCTAGAATCTTTTACAACTTTCTTCGGCTTGAATTTCTGTTAGTAATGTTGAAAATTTTTTATGTTTTATGGAAACTATAGATTATTATCTTAGACTGAAGCGAGTTTAATCTCGTTGAATTGAATCTCATTTACGTGGGTGAAGATTGGGACTTGATTGTTTTTCCCTTAGTAATATTCTTTGGTTAACATGTTACTGAACATAGGATGAGTGAATAATTCATATATTTGGGCTTTAATTCAGGTTTTCCGACTTTTGCAAATAAGTTATGAGGTAAAAGAAGGTAGATTAAAGATGCAAGTATTATTTCAATAGATGGGTATTTAATGAGTCTGCCCATTATCTGTTAATCTTTGCCGTAATGGACTCAAATTCCCTGTCTCAATTCATTGCGCTACTCTTTACATGATTGCTAGGGCTGTGTCTGTGGATGTATGGCTAAATTATCAGGCAGTTTTTAATTAGAACAATAAATGGGAATAGATTAAAGGAAGTCTAAACATGTTGGGTTGCATCTTATTTTCATGGTGACGATTCGGGCTAGATGTTTTAGCAGAGGTTCCAAGTTCTAGTATTTTGGTTTTACACAGGTTTTTGTGTGATTTTTGTTAGTGATTTGTGTAGTATAAGTGAAGGTAGGTTAATACTTCTAATGTCTCCAAGTCCAACTAGTTAGATAGGTATTTGATTGGGTTGCCCAATATTTGTCGGTGTGTGCTGAAATAGACTCAAATTTCCTGTGTCAATTGGTTGAGTTAGTCCTTACACAACATTTTATCTTTTCTTTTATTTGTTTTGTAAACTTTGTTGACGTACCCTTTGTTTTCAGGTGGACTCCTTATGGAAATACCAAGTGCATAATTTGCAAGCAGCAAGTTCACCAGGATGCTAAATACTGTCACACCTGTGCTTACAGCAAAGGTACGACATCATCATGCTGTTTAGGTGTTCTTGGTAGTCATTCTTTCTTTTCAGAAATTTTATGTTCGACACTAGCAATTATGACAGCGATGGTGTTCTGCAGGTGTTTGTGCGATGTGTGGTAAACAAGTACTTGATACGAAGTTTTACAAACAAAGCAATGTATAACGCATACCTGATGTTTGTTGACATTCTCTATTAGATTTGATAACTCTTAAGGGCGTTGTCCTTACTGTATAATTGGTCCTTGTCCATAACCGGAATGCCTCATATGTAATCCAGTTATGCGCATTCACCTTTGAACATATACACTTATCTGGTGGTTTCTTTCTTTGATAATAGATCGCTTTTTCTTCCTCTCCCTAAGTATTTCCGTGGTAATAGGTTTAACTATATCTATTCAGGCACGAAATTTCTTTCTGTCGATGCATCTCCAGTATACTTGCAAAATGTTTCTTTTGCTTCCATTCTGCGTACTTTGAGATTTTCTTTTCATTTCGCCAGTGATTCAGTTTATTTTCTTTGTGATTAGTTTTTCACAGAACGGAAGCGTATGTCAGGCTTCATTTACTTTAGTTTTATGTGTTGTACGCGTAACTGAACCAATATTCAGCCTAAGTATCTTTTGTAGTTACTGTTGATGTGTGATCACTGGCTGTAGCGTTTGGGTTAGTGGCCTACTCATTTTGGCATCATCTGTTTGATGTGAAAGCAGAACATGTTGTCACCCAAAATAAAATAAGACTTGTAAGAAAAATACAAGCAAAACTTGGATGAATATCTCCGGAGAAAATTCAATCTTCAGTCGAGAATTTGATTTCTAGAAATTGATGGGGACACAGTCCCACCATCTAGATGGATTAGTTGGGGATTTTTTTTAATTATTTTTTTTTATTTTTATTTTTGCTCAGCGTTTGAGTATCTTCTTAGTTCTTTCTTTTCCCTAAAGTGTCCCACCTTCTGGATGGATTGGTAGGGGATATTCTTAAGCATGAGGTTTTATTATGTTCTTTTTATAGTTCAAATAATTTCCTTAGGTTTGAATCACGGATATTATGAATCTAGAATTTGTGATTTAGTCCATGCCTTGAGGTCAACTAGTGATAACTAGTGATGTCTTCAAGCAGTTTCTTTCCCCAAATTAAAATTAGAGAAATAGAGAGAATCTTTTTTATAGATTCAACTCACATATTCAATTTTAATATTTAAAATCGTGTCTAACAAATCACATCATGATACATTATTTAAAAACTTATATTTCTTTTTAATTGACTTTTTCACGCTTCGATATTTGAGTCTATTAAATAACATAGTATATGTGATTTATTAGATATCATTTAGGATATCAAAAATTTGACGGCTAATTTGAATCTCTTTTCTCTTTTATATAAGGGAGAGCATGGTAGTTTTATCCAGACTGCAAGTAATATTGGCCCCACTTCTCAGCCGATAATTTTGTAACGTTCTTTTTTTTTTTTTTTTTTTTTTTTTTTTTTTTTTTTTTTTTTTAAGTGGCTGTATTCTCCTCTCAGATTCCTTATAGTCAACAAGTTTCTAGATTGTCACTTACAATTAATCAAAGAGAAATAAATAAGTAGAGGAGAGGAAACTCATCATTCTAGATTGTCACTTAAAATAAAATAAACAGAGGAAAGGAAACTCATCACGTTCGAGCCCTCCATATCTTTATCCGGAACACAAAGAAAGAAGATTTGACCCGTTTCAACATTTTCCCGTCTTACGTTGATTTGTCTTTGCACAGATGACTCATATTCATATTGTCCTATTATCTTATCTGCCCTTTGGCTGCCCATAAAACCAAATGGTATGGTCAAAGCCTGAGATCATCCTGTCTCAATATTTTGCTTTATAAACTAGGAGTATCAGATTTAAACACAGATAAATAACTTCCCAAGCGTACATTAGTAAATTCTACTTCAGTAACATTGGTAACAAGTACATCAACATTGAATTTAAGCCCAAACATCAAACATTGTCCTAAAATATAGAACATCATCATTGGCAAGTACAGGGACATGAAGATGAAATTGGTTTAACAGATGGATAATCTTTTTTCCTAATTTTGTCTAAAGGAATTTCTGCTCCTAAACCAAATGCGGCGTCTCATTCACTTGTTGAGTACCTAGACATCCAATACTTTTCGATTTCCTCTGCGGTTCTTCCCGGGATTCTCCCAGCAATTAGAGACCACCTACACAAGATTGTTCGTTTTGTTAAGGCTCAGAAGAGATTAATTAAGAGGGATTAGCAAAGAATGAGAAGAAACTAACCTCTCTCCAACCAGATTATACATCCTGATGATCAGTGTTTCCTCATCTTCGGAGAATTCAAGTTCAAGCTTTGATTCCTCACTGGTTTCCTCTGGTTACGTACAGATGACCCAAATTAACAAAAAAAAAAAAAAAAAAGGATGCTAAAATATGCAATAAGTTGGTCTCTACTCTTTCAAAAGCATGCTGTAAAAAGAGAGGTTTTTAATTAGAAAGATGCACGAGTACAAATAATCCTGGTTATACTGAACTTTTTTAAATGCAATGAACAAAAAGCAGAACGGTTTAAATGGGAACAAAACCTTACAGAAATAATGACTTCCACTTGGAGGAAAACAAGCAAAAGTAGTATTCAAAAGCCCCCACATATCTTAATTGAACTCATTAAAGGAAAAGGCTTTTAACTTTTTTGGAAAGAGAAGATAAATAAGAACTGCGTAAATTAAGCACCTTGAGAGAATGCGAAATTGTCGTCTGAAGAAGAGTGTTCGGATTTAGCCATATAGAACAAATTCTTTAGTGAAGAGCCAATTGGGGGCGATTGCTGTTAGATGCAGAAGAAGTACTGTAAGTATCTTATCTATACATCTAAAGGATATATAAAATATAATGTGTGTGTATATATATATATATATATATGTATAAACGCTTTGGTAAAGATACTGTTGAGAGAATATTTAAAGACGGCGATAAAAAAGAAGAAGAGAATGGTAGTTGGGTAGGAGCTCACATGGTTTCAACCAATAGTTGACAGGTAGTTGATATATATTATTGCCTTTGTCATTTGTGGTAAGGCATATATCCTATGAAAGGCCTGAGTGTGACTATGCGGCCTCAGATTTGAACAAATAGGATACATTTGTTCTTATATTACACATGTTACTAAGTTCTAACCACGGTTTTTGTATTCTCTTCCAAGGCCAAGTACACAATAATTTTGGACAATGCCACGTAATCTTATTCTTACTCAAAACCTACCGCTCTAAATTTGATCTGTGTCTGTGAATCTCAGTTTTTTTTTTTTTAAAAAAAAAGGTATTTCAATTAATAAAAAATTAACCCGTCAGCGAGTTAAATGAGACAGATAAGAATGCTCAATAATTATATAATTGATATGATAAATAAATGAATTTCGGATATTTCCTGGCAAGGTAAAAGACAAGCTTATAGGATAAGCCAACAAGAAAGTTGTTTGCATTCAGGAAGTTTCCAGTGTTGGAGAGCAAGATATGAAGAAATCTCTTTAAATCGGTAATTAGGTGAGAGGGTCTATCAATGTGCTTGAAATTGCTTTCTGTGGGGGATAATATGCGTTTTTCACTTGGGACACACACAAAGACGTGGCCCTTACTCTGTAAAGTCTTTGTATTTATCTTTAAACAATGTTTTTGATTAATGAAAGACGTGGTCGGTAAAACATCTCTATAACGTTGTTCGTAGAAAGTGACTCTTTGAACGCGGTTACGTTTCTCTCTTTTTTGTTCCATTGTTTCTGACATTTCACAGCATATGTTTTCTTTGACAACACGAGCCTACTAATTACTTACAAAATTTGTATTATTTTCTTCGGAGGTTCGCTTTTGGCTTGAGGGGGGAAAAATTAATTGCTTATAAGTTGATCATAATTCTATTTTCTTTTAGCAGAAATGTAAATATAAATGGAATTTTCTCACCATTTTCGTTAAAGTTGATGTTGATGAAATATGATCTTGACCATGAATCATTGGTGTGATGAATTATTTGATGTAACTAAAAGGTTGAGTGCTTTGTTTTGGGATGTGTACATGAAATTGACTAATCGAAGAACAAACAGCCACAAGATTCACTCCTATCCTGACTTTTGTTTGATATATATATATATATATATATTTTGTGGGGTTTCATTGGATGAAGATGAAATAGTATTCTATTCATGGATATACAATTATTGCTCTTTGGTTACACGGTGGGCGTATGAATGGTTGACATAGCAGACAATAATTTCAATAAACACTTGTCAGGTAAACCCATGTTTCAATTCTACTGTCTTATGTGTCTTATTATTATTATTATCGTCGTTGTCGTCTTCTTCTTTCTTGTAATTGCCTTTATATTAAATTTTGATAGCTTACTTATTATTTTTAATATTTAATTCTTATTTATATAGTTAAACGTTGCTGCCAGGATTTTCTCAAACCAAAAGGATAAGTGGAGCTGTTGTGGAGCAGTAAGCGACTTATACCATAGAATAAAGAGTAATAGCCACAAAATTCTCAAAGCAGGAAAAGGAAGCCCAACTAAGTAATAGCCACACAAATAGAATTACACAAATGACAAAAACTTTGCAAGGAATGAAGAGAACAAGATATTGCGAATTTTACCATATTGTGAACTCAGTTCATACTTCTGTATCTAGATTCTATCGTTCAAACATATATGAAAAGTCTGGCCCCTACTGCAGTTGTACCATGAAAAAGGCTTCAAAATCTGACAGTTGCGTATTTAAATCTCGTTCGTTTCACCGATTTAAATTTTTAATTATAATTTTACTATAATTAAAAACTCTCACAAAAAAACTTTTTTTATTACAATTAAAAATTCTCACATAAACTCACACCTCAATTTAAATTAAAAATTTAAATCTGCAAACTTAATGAGACCTTATAATCAACACAAGTATCCAATAATAGCGGTAGTTTAGTTCTAAAACTTGTAATTTTGCCGCCTACAATGTTGCATATTGGGCATCCTTTTCTAATTCCGAGGGAGTTGTCTCTGTGGACTTGATCCCCCTTGTTTTTCTCTGGATTCCCCAGTTGGGGTAATCCTCCCCCAGTTGTCTTTCTCGCTTTTCAGCTTTTCAATACTAAGCACTACTTAATAAAAGAATACCTATGTAACAGGCATCAGATAAAGAAACCAGAGAAACTCTCCCAGGGATGATTTACTCAACAATTTCAGAACTAGCGAGATTCCTGTTCATTTAGCTTATTTCGAATCACAACTCACGTTTTTTGTAATATTTTCTCTCATAAAAAATTTAAATTTAACATTTTCTTCTCACGTGAATTTACTTTTTAATTTAAGTACTAAGTACTCAACTCGAAATGGGGCCTTAAGAGACTTGATTCACAAAACAGAACCTAAGCAGACCTCCAAGGCTCTGCGTAGATAACAGCAGGGAGTCAGTTAAGCAGCCTAAGATCTGAACTAGTCCTGCTTTAGTAAATTTATTCCCAAATTTCTTACTAAACAAAAAGCTCTCTTCAGGACAAACTGAAATTGTATTCAATTTTTTTTTTTTTTTTATCACAATAAAGTAAAACGTTTCAAAATGTTTTGACTTCCTAATTGAATTGAATCCAATGTGAAAAGCACCGAGGTCATGTCTACTAATCGAACTTACCATTTTTAATGGTCATATTGATAATAGATCACGTATTATGCAAACAGAAAGCAGAAACTTAAGCCAGTTAGCCATCATATATAATCATATATAATGGCTTAAACCTTCTAAGAGCCATGATCGATATTAGTACCCACCTGCACCAAAAGAAATAACACCGAAAGAAAATACTAACCTTCGATTGAAAGGGGAAATAACACCAGTTCAATCACAGGTCTCATAAGGGCCAACTAAAACCACGAGAAACCGAGTTCACACATTATACTAATATTTCTTAAGGACCAGAAACACAACCACAAAGCCATAAACACAAACATCCCAAAAGGAAGTCCTTAAAAGCCACCACGGAGACGGAGAACAAGGTGAAGGGTGGACTCCTTCTGAATGTTGTAATCAGCCAAAGTCCTTCCATCGTCCAGCTGCTTCCCTGCAAAGATCAGCCTCTGCTGGTCAGGCGGGATGCCCTCCTTGTCCTGAATCTTCGCCTTGACATTATCAATAGTGTCCGAGCTCTCGACCTCCAAAGTGATGGTCTTCCCAGTCAAGGTCTTGACAAAGATCTGCATTCCACCCCTCAGACGCAGCACAAGGTGAAGGGTTGATTCCTTCTGGATGTTGTAATCTGCGAGGGTCCTACCATCTTCGAGTTGCTTCCCGGCGAAAATCAGCCTCTGCTGATCTGGGGGAATGCCCTCCTTGTCTTGAATCTTTGCCTTCACATTATCAATTGTGTCCGAGCTCTCCACTTCGAGGGTGATGGTCTTCCCTGTAAGGGTCTTAACGAAAATCTGCATTCCACCACGGAGACGAAGGACAAGGTGAAGGGTGGACTCCTTTTGAATGTTGTAATCAGCAAGGGTCCTACCATCCTCAAGCTGCTTCCCTGCGAAAATCAGCCTCTGCTGGTCTGGTGGGATGCCCTCCTTGTCTTGAATCTTTGCCTTCACATTATCAATCGTGTCTGAGCTCTCCACTTCAAGGGTGATGGTCTTCCCTGTAAGGGTCTTGACAAAAATCTGCATTCCACCACGGAGACGGAGGACCAAGTGGAGGGTGGACTCCTTTTGAATGTTGTAGTCAGCAAGGGTCCTTCCATCCTCAAGCTGCTTCCCCGCAAAGATGAGCCTCTGCTGGTCTGGTGGGATGCCCTCCTTATCCTGAATCTTGGCCTTTACATTGTCAATCGTGTCAGAGCTTTCGACTTCCAGGGTGATGGTCTTTCCCGTAAGGGTCTTAACAAAAATCTGCATGCCACCACGGAGACGGAGGACCAAGTGGAGGGTTGACTCCTTCTGGATGTTATAATCCGCAAGAGTCCTTCCGTCCTCAAGCTGCTTTCCAGCGAAAATGAGCCTCTGCTGGTCTGGCGGGATGCCTTCCTTGTCTTGGATCTTAGCCTTGACATTGTCAATCGTATCGGAACTTTCGACCTCAAGGGTTATAGTCTTTCCAGTGAGTGTCTTAACGAAGATTTGCATACCACCACGGAGACGGAGGACCAGGTGGAGAGTCGATTCCTTTTGGATGTTGTAGTCGGCCAGAGTGCGGCCGTCCTCCAGCTGCTTTCCCGCAAAGATCAGCCTCTGCTGGTCCGGTGGGATGCCTTCCTTGTCCTGGATCTTAGCCTTGACATTGTCAATTGTGTCAGAGCTTTCAACCTCAAGGGTTATGGTCTTTCCGGTGAGGGTCTTTACGAAGATCTGCATACCGCCACGGAGACGGAGGACCAAGTGGAGGGTAGACTCTTTTTGGATGTTGTAGTCAGCAAGAGTACGGCCGTCCTCAAGCTGCTTTCCAGCGAAGATCAACCTTTGTTGATCCGGGGGGATTCCCTCCTTGTCCTGGATTTTAGCTTTGACGTTGTCAATGGTGTCTGAGCTCTCGACCTCGAGAGTGATGGTCTTTCCGGTGAGGGTTTTCACGAAGATTTGCATCTATCAATAATGAATGATAACATAACTTAGAACAAAGGCCTACCCAGAAATTTAGCCCAAAAAAAATGAAGAATTTTGCATCAATCAATGATAAATAATAAAAAAAATTTATAACCAAAATCTACCAAGAAATTCATACAAAACGAAAAAAAAAAAACATAAAAAACACATCAAAGAGAGATATTTGATCACTTTATTTTCAAAAGGAATTTTATCGGTTTAATTGGTTATTATAAAACGGTATCAAATCCCCCTATATTTTCGACATAGAATTGGTTAATCAATAAACAAATTGTATATTCTTTTCCCAAAAGTCCCACACAGCATCAACGAAATCAAATCAAAACCAAATAGTATCGTCAATCAGATAAGATTCTATCGTTTCAAGAAAACAACCTTCAGATAATTTTTTTTTTTTTTTAAAAGATGCGTATCAAAAAAATTAAACAAAATAATATCAACGAAACTACAATATTAAACCATCGATTCATTTTTTCGTCGCAGGAAAAAGGTCAGATAAAAAAAAGAAAGAAAGAAAATCAAAGATCCATTTTTTGCCGAACCAAAAAGATCAGATCAAAATAACTCGACCAAACTTCGACATGATCATAATTGCAGCAAAAAAGAATAATAACTCGACCAAACAAAAATCAAAGATTCATTCTTTTGCTGAAGGAAAAGGTCAGATCAACAGGAATCGACAAAAAAAAAATCAAAACGACTTAAATTTTACAATTCCATATCATGTGTCAGAAAAAAAAAATCTCGTACACACGAGTTAAATTTCCCATAAGAATGATCAGATCTGCAGCTTTAGAATCATTAGAATAAAGCAAAAGATCCCAATCGGCAAGTTCGTTCAAACAGAAACGAAAAGATGATCAAACAGAGCACAATTTCGCTTCTTATACCTAAATTGTTCACCGAACGAAAAGAAAGAAAGCATAAAATCAAAGGAAAGAGCGAAAATAGAGAAAAATTCGTTACCTTGAAGAATTTTTTTGCTTGGATTCGTTTGATTCACAACCAAAATAAACTTGCGTACTATGAAAATGAGGAATTAGGGTTGCGTTTGGGGCTCCATTTATATGATAAGGAGATATGTGATTCAGTTACGGCAACACCATTTTAACCAATGAAAGCATGACGCGTGTAGAAATGAGTTGTCAAACTCTCGGTTGACACGGCAAGTTTGGTAGATTTGGGTTTTTTTTTGTATTTTATTTTTTGTTAGATCATTTATTTTTTGGAAAAAGTTAGGCCCGTTCATTTTTCTGATTCGAGTTTAGAATTTAAGTTTTGTTATAGTAAAAAGTTCTCACAAATAATCATATTTAATTTTTTTACTATAATAAAAAATTCTTACATAAACTCACATCTCAACTCAAATTAAAAATTTAAATTAACGAACTAAACGACCCCTCATGTTTTTCTAACTCAAAATTGACACTGGGGCCCATACTAGTTTCCTTAATATCTTTATTTTTTTAATTTTTTTTTTAATTCAGGAAATCTCGTTTGAAGCTTTGAAGAGGAATTTTTTTTTTTTTTTTTTTTCAATCTGCAGCCTAGCTTGCCTAACTTGCTGGAGATGGCTTATATTAACTTTGTAAATAGTCGATGACACCTCTCTGTTTTTTTTTTTTCTTTCCGAAATTTTTGCCTCTCCTCTGTCGGGGTGGTTGATATTGTTTTTGGTTGAAAAGGTTTGTATTGAAACCAAAAAACACAGGAAGAAGAGAGATTTGGGGATGGCGGCGGAAAGCTCGCGCCGATAGGGGAGTAGGAGGTCGCATCGCCACCGATGGAAGGTGGGTTCGCGCCACCAAAGCGGTTGGGTTCACGCCGCTGTCAAAAGAAGAACGGTTTTGTGCGCTGTCGGAGGGAAGACTTGTCGATTCGGCTCGTGCGACGAGGAAGGCGAGGACAAATCGTTTTCTTCAAGATCTGAAATTGAAATGGGGTTTTGGGTTTGTGTTATTGAGAGAAACCCAGGATGAGAATTTTTTTTTTTATCTGAACCCAGGTTGAGAAATTTGTAATGGGTACACTTGTTTGAAGAAATTATGTGGATTTATGTATGTAAATATGGCTTTCTTCACTGTTTTTTGTTATTATAATTTCAAGTCCAAAAATTTTTGTTCCTCATATAATTTGATGGGAGATGGAACGTTGAAGGGAAAGTCTTGCTCTGGAGATTTTTTTTTTTAATGTCGTTTGAATCTCGTCGCAAGTTGCAGAGGACGGAAAAAATGGAGGAGATAGGCATTTGGAGCATCGGAGGTGCAAGGAGAGAGAAACGGAGTTGCAAAGTCAGATTGATTTGGTGGTGTTATTTGGTGTGGATGAGTGCAGGCTAGATGTGTTTAACAACTCAAATTAAAACCACACAATCTAATCCAACGGCTTAAAAAAATTTACGTTATGGGTAACGTCAAAAGGACTACGTAGTCTCTCCCTTATTTTTTATTTATAAAGTCGTCTTTTGGAGATAATAACGAGGTCAGTGACGTCAATGCTTGTTTTTATTATTCTAAAAAAAAATTAATAATAAATAATGCCTGCTATTATCGGAACAAGTGGCTATAATAAACATATGATAAAGACAAATTTTTATCTCCTCTAATAAAAGGACAAATTTTTATTTTTATTTTTTTTAAAAAGAATTGCCCTGTTTGGTTCGGAAGCAAAAATTCAATTGTAAACCTCGTTCATTTCGCAGATTTAAGTTTTTAATTTGAATTGAGATGTGATATTTTTAAGAGATTTTCACTGTAATAAAAAAAGTTAAATATGATATTTTCTGAGAACTTTTTACTGTAAAAATATAAAACTGAAAACTTGAATCGGTGAAATAAACGAGGCCGTAATGGTTGTCATTTTTGTTATAGAATTAGATGAAGATCATTCAAATCATTAACCCCAATCCCCTTAAATTCAACAATTCTAATGGTAGTTTTACAGTGAAAACGATTTCTTTTCTACTTTTTCTCTCTTCAATTTTACATTTAAAAATGTCATAATTTTTCATTTTAATTATGATTAATATGATTATTTTTTTCAGTGTATTCATAATGAAAAGATGAACAAATGCACATCCATATTGCATATTAAAATGTCTTTTACGATGAGATTTTATAAGATTTATTATAAAACTCTAATGACAATTTTCAACACTCTATCCAAACACAATTCAGATTTTATTCTCAATTTAAATTACAATTTATTTGCATAATTAAACACTAGTTAAAAGTCAGTTCAAATAAGTACAATTCAAATCCTACAATTCAAACCAAATCATCGCAATTTAAACGGGAACCAAACACAACCTATAACTCAAAGACTTCTCAACTTTCGTCTCCTTTTTTATAGATTTTTTTACAAACACTCCCTTAATTTTTTAGATTTGGCAACTTACTCCCCATTCTTTTTTTCTTAGCAACGAGCCTTTTAACTTAAAAATCTTTGCAATAAGGACCAATTGAAAATAATGTCTGTTTTTTCTATTTTAACGATTCTGAACATGTGTCACATACGTGAACATTTGTTGAGGACAATGAACGTCATTTCTCACCATTTGAGCGTTTGTTGATGACAATAACCCTTGAAAATTAAGAGTTGTTTGTCACAACTGAATATATTCGGACACATTAGATGACTTTGACATCATTACCGAACAAATAGAATGAGAAATGACATTCATTACCCTCAACAGATTCTCATGTCGGCGTTATGTGATTAGATTCGTCAAAAAAGCAAATGACATTTTCAATTGGACCTTAATTGTAAAGATTTATAAGTTGAAGGTGTCAATTGCTAGGGAAATCATGCACATATGTCATGATTAATTATATGAATAATATTAAAATGCACATCAATAAACTACTATCGTTTATTGTTAATATCAGTCATTTTATTGTAACCGATTGTCTTTTTTAATCTTAAAAAATATTATCGTGAATGAATACATCTGTCATGTTCTTTTTTGACAGGCACATATGATAATACATGAACATTTGTTTAGAGTAGTGCATGACAGTCGTTTATTATCATATACTTAAAAATGACTTTTAGTTCTTAAAATAGTAACTGTTACGACTCAATATAAGAGAATTATGTCAATCATTCAACCGCTTACTCTAATCTTTCAACGGTTATGATGGGAAAAAATTTCTCTCATAAAAGTGGTGGGGAACCACAGAAGAGAAAAGACCAAAAAAGAAAGAAAGAAAGAAACTTTCTTCTCCTCTTATGTTTGGTATAAGAATGGAAACAAATATGCATCGATAAGTTATAATTAAGTAAGAATTACTAGCAAAATTAAGTAAGAAGAGGGCGAATAAAATGTAATAAAAATTTCCTCAAAAGGCATTTGACATGATGGGAAAGAGAGAAAATAATT